TCTGTTCCCCTTTCGGGCTTGAACTGATGGTAAAACTAATGACATTATTTACTGTCTTTAACAGTAAATAAAAGCTGAAGCTCGCGATTATGGTAAGGGGCGTTACATTTCCGACGAGTGCTTGCGGTGTTCGGCCAATCACAATGCACTGGGTCAGCTGGCCAATCAGAGCAGACTGCGCTTGCCGGAAGGAGGGACTTTGTAGAAAACGAAGCGTTTGAGAGAGGCGGGGCATAGAGGACCTACAATAATGTACAGTATTTGAAAAATTATGTGTTTTTTGAACATTAAAGCATGTCAACATATTCTGTTACACCAAATACACAAAATAATGATCTTTAAAAAAGCATCATATGACCCCTTTAAATGCATGCACCATTCGAGTTTCCTCCAAGTATGACATATGCCTCGAGCAATTTTGTTTATTAAAATGTCTGTGTACTTCATCATATGTGATCTGATTAAATTAAAGGCTAGACTTAGCTACTTTTTTTTCTTTGCATGCATGGTCCATGGCATTTGTTCACCTCAGTGCCGTATGGCGTCTTTGAAACCACTTCCGGCGCCATCCAATACGGAGTCCCGACTAACGACTTCCTCTTCGGGATGTCTTTGCTGATCTGAGCACAGAATCCAAAGTCGGACAGTTTGACCTGTAAAACAGAGATTGAGACGGCACATCAATACTGCTCCTAATAAGCTTCCTAAAACTCAAATCAATGGCATTTCCAATTCATATAAGTCTACTACAATAAAACTATATTACTATATTTTCCATTTTAGTTTTAGTTAAAGTTTTAGTATGTTTGTTGTGTGTTTTTGTCATTTTTATATTAGTTTTTGTTTCCTTTTAAATATTTTTATATAGTTTTTATTTTATATTTTCGGTTTTCATTTTAAGCTTAGTTAATTTTGTTGTGTTTTTGTCTTTTGCATTAATTTTTTTTTTAACATTTCTATATAACTGTAATTTTTATATTTTATGTTTTCATTTTAATTTTAGTTTAAAGTTTTAGTAATTTAGTTGTGAATATTTTATTAGTTTTTTATATTTCTATCTAGTTTTTATTTTTACATTATCCATTTTCATTTTAAGTTTAGGTAGTTTTAGTAATTTTGTTGTGTCTTTGTATTTTTTATTAGTTGTTGTTTACTTTAAAATATTTCTATAGTTTTTATTTTTAGATTTTTTCATTTTATTTTAATTTTAACGTTTTAATAACTCTGTTGTGTTTATTTTTATTAGGTTTTGTTTCTTTTAAAACATTCTATATATTGTAATTTTAATATTTTCTGTTTTCATTTTAATTTCAGTTAAAGCTTTAGTAATTTATTTGTGTATTCATTTTTATTTCTAGTTCTTTCTATTTTTTTATATTTCTATATCGTTTTTATTTTTTAAAAATTTCTCTTTTCATTTTAATTTTTGTTAAAGTTAAACTAAACAAACATGAGAAATGTTGCCTTGGCAGCGTGCTGAAATAACGTTTAATTTTTTTAAATATTTTAGTTTAGTTTATGCTTTATTTTACTTCAGATAAAGAAAAAAAAACTGGTGTAGAAACAATTTTCACTCAAAAATTGCTAGTAATTATAGAATTTTCTTGTAAAAATGTACTCCAATCATATTTGTTTTATTTACAACTTCAAAAAAAATTTTTTTTACAGTGTAGAAAGTACATTCTAAAACATCAGAAGATCCGCAAAACCCCTGCTAAATGCCTAATTCATATTAATAATTTTGTATATTGCCGAGTCTATGCAATTCATGCTTATTTTCATAATTGATCTTGATTTTAAGGACATTTTTGTTTACTTTTGTACGGTAAGCAGTTCATGTGTTGAAATCTCAGGCCTGAGAAGAGCTCATATGAATGCAAATGAGGACTCGGGCGTAATGAGCGGCGGTCAGGACGATTGTGTGGAGGTTGCAGTGGTTCTCACCCGGCCGTCCAGCGTGAGTAAGATAGAGTCTCTCTTGATGTCTCTGTGAATAACGCCCTGAGCGTGAAGATAACAGAGAGCCTGGAGAACGGCTTCACACACCGTAGCAATCTGCTCCTCTGTTAGCCTAAACACACACACACACACACTCACACATATACACACACACACACACACACTCACAAACACACACACTCACACAATCACACACACACACACACACACACATCTCAATCACACTCACACTCACTCACTCACTCACTCACTCTCACTCACACTCACACACACACTCACACTCACACACTCACACATATACACACACACACTCACACATATACACACACACACACTCACTCACACGTATACACACACACATATACACACACTCACACATATATACACACACACACTCACACATATACACACGCACACACTCACACATATATACACACGCACACTCACACATATACACACGCACACACTCACACATACACACACACTCACACACTCACACATATACACACACACACAAACACACACAAGTAATGCACTCCACAACACACACACACACCTAATGCACAACACATTATACACACACTCAATACACAGCAACAGCATTGCACAACACACACACACACACAAGTAATGCAC